TCTCTTTGTTTTTCTCTAATTATCCCCATTTGTGTGTTTTGCCACCTCTGTTTTCCTCAACCTCATAAGAAACATGATACAAAATAGGAATCAGGCAGATTGCTCTAAATTCCTGTTTCTACCAATAGCCAGGACAGAGAGTAAATAATTTTTGAGCTGAAATCCATCCAGGGAAGCAGATTCTAGCACAATCTATATTACCTCAGATTAGGAGAAAATCATATTGTTGCAATTGACAAAACAGGATACAAAATACAGGCTCTGATGGCTTGTCAGTATAGCTTGAACAATAAGGCATGTATAGTAAACACAAATTCCAATAGAAGAGAATATATGTAGCTCATGGTTGAACTAAGGAGTCCTTGGTGCTCTCTGAGCTTGGTTGTTTGCTTGCAGATGTCTCCTTAACCAACTAGGTAACATCATCAGTGCTAGTGAGTGTGGGGTTTGTTCCCTGTTTATACACAGTAACTTGCCTTGCCAGTGTTGGTGCAGGGAGCAAACTCCACACTCACTAGCACTGATGATAGTATCTAGAGTAATGAAACATCTGCAAGCAAACAACCGAGCTCACAGAATGCCAAGAACTCCACAGTAAACACAAATTGACATGAGTTCAGTGGGTCTAAATTCTGTTAACATTCATCTGAGATCCCATTGGGATTAAGACACACCTATTTCAAAAAAGCCTGAACTAAAAATCCTCTGTGTTGCATATCAAGCATATTAAGACTAATGGAAACCATCTGTCTAGACTATCACAACAAGCCAAGGCGAGTCCAAGTAATTTTGTGGGTTTTAAGAACCATTTGGCTGTGATATGTGTCAAACTATTGGTAGCCGACATTGACAGCTGAGGCTGGCTAGGTAGATGTTTCAACCCATCCTTTCCTGTCCATGTTTCATCTTTCAAAGCTTGGTAATAGAGGACACTCATCCCAAAAAGAAGAAATTCTGATGAAGCAAGCAGTTTCATAACCACAAATTCTGGTTCCCCAAGGGGTGAAATGGCCAGCAAATGCTATAGGATGTTGTATTCTGGCGGAAAATAGTTGCCAAAGCGTCCTCAACATCCTTATTGCCAATACATTTAGAAATGCTAACTGCCTTTAGCACAGAAAATGGTGAATTATGTCAGCCATCAATGGGAGGAAAATCCAAATATCTTTATTAGGCCAACTGTGGTTTTACACATTTGTAAAAGTGAAGTTGGATTCCACTCCCATCTCCATTCTGAAGTCAGAACCTTGTCTCTGAATTCAGTGAAGAAGCTGAGAATCAGAAAAATAGGACCAGGAGCAGGACCAAGTCAATATATAATATATTAAATATATAATCTACCAAT